CCACCTCTCCAGCTCATTACCACTCAGTTAGACATCAGAGCCACCTCTCCAACTCGTCACCATTCAGCTAGGCAACAAAGCCACCTCTCTAGCTCGTCACCATTCAGCTAGGCGTCAGAGCCACCTCTCTAGCTTGTCACCACTCAGTTAGGCGTCAGAGCCACCTCTCCTTCTCGTCACCATTCAACTAGGCAACAGAGCCACCTCTCCAGCTTGTCACCATTCAGTTAGGCGTCAGAGCCACCTCTCCAGCTCATCACCATTCAGCTAGGCATCTAAGCCACCTTCYAGGTAGGAACCATTCAGCTAGGCATCCAAGCCACATTCTAGGTAGGAATTATTCAGCCAGGCATCCGAGTCACCTGCCAGCCGGGGAGTTGCCAAAATGCACATCATCAGAAACTGTTGAAAAATGATGAAAGAATTAAAATATTTGTGAATGCATACATACCATAGTATTTAAAGAATCAATATAATTTGTATTAATATTTACCATTTTTTAGAAAATATGACCGATTAGCCTATTGGACCGGTTGGACCAAGACTAGATTGGATTAAAAATTTGCCAAAATTGTCAACTAGTCAAACTCGAAAACTAGTGAATCAATCCTGGTTTTAAAAAACAATTGATTTTTTAAATTGTTTTAGCACATTAATGCAAACTTCTAATAGCCATAACTTTTTGCTCAGATGTCCTATTGCGGTGACCTTTGTTTTTATTTTGGGTAACTTTTCGATATATGTGCCTTATAAAAAAATTGAAATTAAAATAAAAAACACAATTATATAATTTGAATATATTATAATCCAAATATATAATTTATAATATTTTATATATGTATAAAAATATATTATATAATATAATATATTACGTCATTACAATTTGACCTCGATTGAACCTCAAACCTATGAACCTCTCCCTTTTCTGGGTTGATGTCTAGCCCGGTTCTCTAAATATTGATATTTATTATATTTTAATGATGAATTTTAGCTTTTATTGGTAGTCATCCATTAACAAACAAATTTAATTAAGAATTAAAATATAAATTTATATGACAAACACTTGTGGTATGCCATAGCGGTGGATTTCTTGTTGTTACAAACAAATAACTAGTGTTCAAATCCCTTTGACCTCTATTTGTGATTTTTAATAGGCAAGTTAGTGGCATGTCAAATTCAAATTCGAAATTGAACATTGCCTTAAATGCACTATTCAATATTGGACTGTAACAGGATTATATCGACTGATATAGACCCGAAACAAACCAATACGGACCCAAAATGGACCGATATGGGCCCGTATTGGACCGATACTATCAAATCTTCAACGAAATGCAACGTTATACAGACTTCTTTTCTTATGGGGTGGGACTTTGAGGCCATGTTTGCTTTTCAGTAAGATACTTACCTAGGTAAATGCAGTTACCTGGGTAAGTTTTTCTTGGAAAACACTTACCCAGATAAGTGCATTTACCCATGTTCTTTTATTGCTCATTTAAATAAGGCAATGACCATTGTAGTCATAAAATTCCATTATTAAAAGGGGTATTTTTTATTCTATTCAAGTGTTGGCAACTTTCCGCCTAGGTGGAAAAGTTATTTACCAACCTAGGAGATGGGTATCACTTAGATAAGTAAATCGGGTCATGTTGCTCGCGGCCTGACACGACACGATGGTCCACGGGTCGTACTAGGCCTAGGGTTCCAGGTCCATGGGTCAGCACAACACGGCATGACTGTATGTGCCATGCCACCCGCGGACTGCGCTTGGCCCACCCAATGAATTAGCCGTTGTGTCACGGGGCTAATCGGCGAGGCCCCGTGCGGCACTCGAGTGGGTAGAGTAAGCCTAAGAAAGCAAGCAAACACACACAAAAGGCTACAAAGATGGCACACGAATTAGTAAAAAATGCACTTTATATAGCAATAGATGGCAAGCACAAGCACACAAGTCTGTGTCGAGGGGACCTCGTGCTTAACCTTTACACGGTCTTGGCACCTCTCAACTACCTACCTCCCCTCAAAGAGTAGCTTAAGCTTTTGGTGCTCTGACAAAAGATTACATGGAAATACGGAAAAATCATACTACATAATTACAATAATGCCATCGGCAATCCCCCCTTACAAAATACACATGTAGCCCCACCCCAGACGCACTAGATGACACTCTGATGGCATATTGTGGGCATGGCAAAGGCACTTGATGTCGTGAAAAAGTGGTCACTTGTGACAGTCTCCCCCACTCAATTTAGGCTTCGCCCTCGAAGACTCTCTTGTATGCTGCTTGAGTCTGTTGCTGGTGAAGGAGGGTTCTTCAGATGATCCACAAAATTCTTCACTTCCAAGGCCTAAGAAACTCCTTTGGGGATAGGTTTGCTGTTGTTGAATGTGATGGGGAAACCTATGGCCAGGTCCTAAGTTGAGTCCTTGGCTAGCGGCTTGAAGGTAAGTGATGTGTGGCTTAGTTTGATTTGCACTACAAGCTAAGGTAGGGATTGGAGCAAAAGATGAATCTAAGTCAAAAGGACGTTGGATATTAAGGGATGTTCCCCAAGGTTCTCTCCTCACAAGTCTACTATGTGGGCGTAATGGAGGCCAAATGTTGGGATGGTTCCTAGAGCATGTGGGTGGCACTCTCTTCCCAAGATGGTAGGTATGGCTGATGTCGGAGTTGGCCTTGGATCTTCTCTTCGGCCCGTTGGTGAAGGGCGTTGGTGTCTTATGCAACGGATGCGGCTTCTGTTGACGTTGAGATGGCGGTGGCACTGTCTTCTTGATGGAGATGTCACGATCAGTTATTGTTGTAGTGATTGCGGTTGCTGCTGCTGTGCTCCTCAGAGACTCTTGATATGCGGATGGAAGTTGGGAGTTGCAAGGCTGAAACTTGCTTCTTCTTCGTATCAATAGATGTAATCATGTCAACCATGCAAGGTGACTGCTCGTCCATGATCAATAAGATGTCGAGGTGTGGTGCTGGTGCGGCTTTAGCCTGTGTCAAGAAGTCCATGCCAAGGACGACAGCAAAGTCATCCAATTGTGCAACGAAGAGGTCAATCTCCCGATTCCAGGTGCTGACTCGGAGTCCAACTCGACGAGCCATCCCTTCAATGGGTTTTGCACCTATATTGACAGCTTTGAGCCGGCCTGGCTCTCTTGAAATGGCCAAGTTGAGTCTTTTGGCTTCTGCAATGGATATAAAATTGTGAGTGGCCCCTGTGTCAAATAGGGCCCGGGTTGGCTTTCCACCAAGGTATATGTTGACATACCTCAGTCCTCTCTTGACTGAGGCGGGCTGTTTGGAGGTAGCCCCTTTTTTCACCATGGCATTGAAAAGTTGTAGGGCACCCACTCTTGGCGCCTATCTGCTCCGCTCCCCATTGCTTCGTTCATCATCACTCAACTTGGCAATGAGGGCATTTAGTTTCTCTCGTTTTGGGCAATGCTTGGTCAAGTGCTCCTCCCCACAAATGTAGCAAGTGGGAGGACGGGCGGGTCTCCCCTGATATCTTCTGTTGTAGGAGTTTCGGCTTCCTTGTGGTTGTTTCCCTTTGTAGTACTCGACTGGCTTGTGGTGGAATGGCTGCTTCTCCTTCGGGGGACGGGGTTGTCCATCTCACCCACTCAAATTGCTGGCACGTGGGCTGGTTGGCTTGCTTCCTTCATCATCGGACAACCTTAGTTCACCAAGTTGTTCGGCCACAGCCATGCCAGAGGCAAGATCTTGGACATTACGTCGTTGGAGCTCAAACGCGGCCCAAGGCTTTAGGCCATCCATGAAGTTGAACAACATGTCTTTGTCCGACATGTCAGTGACTTATAGGGTAAGAGCTGAAAATTCTTTGACATATTCATGGAGTGAGTCGCCCTGCTTGAGTGTCTTCATCTTGCGATGAGCAAGATACTCCACGTTCTCTGGATATAACTGCCTCTTCAGCTCCTGCTTGAAGTCGGCCTAGGTTTGGATGGTGCACGTACCACGTTCTATATCAACACATCTTCTACGCCACCACAACATAGCGACATCAGTCAAATACATGGTAGACGTACATACCTTAGCTGGTTCATCATTCACACTGGTTGTGGCAACGTATTGGTCCATTTGCCATAGGAAGTTGTCGAGCTCACGGGCATTGCGTGCGCCTGAATAGGGAGTTGGCTTCCTAATCTTTATGTGGGAAGGACTATGCACAAAGGAGGTGCCGGTTGGATTGGCAATGGCCCTCTTCAAGATTGCACATTCGGCCTTGAGTTCATCTAATTGAGCTTGAGAGTTGGAGGAACAAGCGATGCCTTCATGGCTGCCCATTCTACTTTCATCTCATTCAATTAGGCCTGGATGGCCACTGGGGAGGACATGGCTCTCCTCCATGTTGCCCACTCGTTTCTCATTACATCGAGTTGTGCCTGAAAGCTATCTAGCTTGTCTTGAATGTTGGAGTGGGATGAGCTCCCTTCTTGTAGGCGTGCAGTGCTGCAGACTTCCTTGAGTGTCCCATTAAGCATGTCATAGACTTCATCAACAATACCAGTCATGCGGCCTTCCACATCTACCACCGCACTCTAGATGGCTTCAACATTTTGGTGGAGCTCATCTACTCGGTCACGCATCTCACCCATAGTGGCTTCATAACGTAGCAGTCGTAGGTCGATGGCGGAATGCTTGTCTATGGATTTCTCACGTTTGCTTGCCTTTGATGTGCGGGTTTTCGGTGCTTTGTCCTTGACTATGTCATCGGCAGGTGCATCGTCCACCTCATGGGAAGGGGAGAGCCCATGCTCGATCTCCTCCATGATATCCCTGTTATGCTTCATGGTGTGCTCGCGTCGCGGGTCCAATGGATAGGAATGAGCTCCTGCTCTGATACCAACTGTCACGGGGCTAATCGGCGAGGCCCCGTACGGCACTCGAGTGGGTGAAGTAAGCCTAAGAAAGCAAACAAACACACATAAAAGGCAACAAAGATAACACACGAATTAGTAAAAAAGACACTTTATATAACACTAGATGGTTAGCACAAGCACACAAGTCTGTAAACCTCATGCTTAACCTTTAYACAGTCTCAACTACCTACCTCCCCTCAAAGAATAACTTAAACTTTTGATGCTCAAAAGATTACGTAGAAATACGAGAAAATCATACTCAATCCCCCTTACAAAATACACATGGAGCCCCACCCTAAACGCATAAACCACTCTCATGGCATGTCGTGGGCATGGCAAAGGCTGCGATGTAACAGTTGGGGGTCCAACAAAGTGGCATGTCCCACGTGTCACTCTTCCTCAACTGTCGTGTTGCCGGATTCCGTCTGTCTGCGATCGATTTTCACGTTGCATCCAGCGTGTTGTTCTACTCCCGCTTTGCCTCGCTCCCTAGACCTCTCACCTTCTTCTCCATCGTCAGTCGTCACCTTCACAACGTGCCTGGATGTCCCACAGGCTTCGCCTCCGTCCCAGTGTCTCTAGCGGTTTTACGGTACATCTCCGTTGTTTTTACAATGGCAGAAGAGGCCAAGGAGTTCAGCCCCGATTTCCCGTCAGAATTGGTCACGCAGGACACATCTGACCAACCCCTCCGCGATGACCCCAGATTTTTCAACGAAAACCACTGTTTTCTCGTTTGGCTCCACCTGCATTTCTTCCATTTCGTTAATCTCCAACCAAACTCCTTGCGAAACCTTCCGCCTCTGCTCCACCTTCTTCTCGTTTGGCTATCGCCCTATACGATAGGAAATTATCTGGTCCGGTGAGAGAACTGCGGGTGTCTGTTAAAAGCCTAGCGTCGAACATAAGGCGGTTGACAGGGTCCGTTTGACTCATACCAGAACTCGAAGTCTTTCTTTTTTTTCTTTTCTTTTCTATAATTCCCAACATCTCCAGGGCTTCGATCGAAGCAGTCACGTTTCTATTTTCTTGTTCGTTCATTAGTGTTTGGATCTAATTTTTCTTTCCTTCACATTTTTATAATTGCCAGAGTCTACACGGCTTTGATCCGACTATCCAACACTCGCATTTTTCTTTCTCATTCGGTCCCTTTGTTAGGGCTTACATCAATGGCTAATCCAGAAGAATCAAGCCCTCTTCTGACCAAGCAAGGTGATGGAGAGAGGAATGCCAAGCACGGCGAGAAAAAGGCGGCGCCTACGAAACCAGTGGCGGTGGAATCTGGACAGAGCATCGACCGGGGTGCGGGATGGACTGCCGATGGTTTGCCGTTAGGACACAGGAGTGTAGTTGGTGAACCGGTGGCTCGTGCTCAATGGGATTCCTCTCAACGATGATCGAATGGGGCTCCTTTAGCCCTCTACTTCCTCATAGAACTTGAGCGAGAGAGGAAGAGAGTGGAAGAACACAGCTTGAATAAGAGAGAGAAGGCACATGTCAAAAATATAAAACATGAGCGTTAAGTCATAAACGTTGTAAGTGTTGATCTCTAATTATATCCGTACACCAACCAAATGCTTTAGGTATAGATATAACGCAGAAGCATAGGAGGATCGTACAACGGTTAAACGAGAGTTAACTTCAGATTAAAATAATATCAAAGGGACGATAGAATCAAACACTACAAATTCATTCAGAAATAGACTAGTACATATAAAATACACCAAAATTTTCAGGATCATATCACTCTCGCTCTCCCTCTCGCCCTCTCTCTCTCTCTCTCTCACACACACACACCTTTGCCCAATCCAAAACAGGAACCCGCTAGGGATCCAAAAGGACAACGTAGAACTTTTAAAAAAACACTTCTAAGGGAACAAAGAAAAAACGTTAAGACACAGAGAATCCTCCTCGAGTTCACGAAACATCAACCTCCCTCGTTTAGAAATTCCTGTACACTTTTTGTTACTTGCGGCGATTCAAAATCTCGAATGTCACCTGTTCTGCTTTTCTCGTTGTCGAGCTCAATGTTACACAACTTTGAGGTCCCATGGAAAAATGGAAATGACCTCACTAGTCTAAAAATTTCACGTTCCCAAAATTTAGAGGAAAAAAAAAAAAAAGCTTTTCGAAAGCACCCCAAGAGAATCCATCAGTCACCCTGAAAGCTGGTAGAAATTAGAGGACTCATTTGTATAGATTGCTTAGGGTCCTATAGTTGGTGCTCGAGAAATTTCAGCTTCATCAATCCGAGTCCTTTGCAGAAACTGATGAAGTGTCCGTTCCATTCCCAGATTCCTCCGCATTTGCAGACACTGATTGGCTTCCTTGATTGTCATTGCCAGTGGTTCGTGGTTTGCCAGGCCTTGATCGAACATTGACCCCCATTGGGAAGGGCTCCTGCAAAGAGAAAAAGTCCTTTTAGGCTTTCTGTAGTTGCAAACTAATTTCAGTCGATGAAAAAGGAGTAGTCCCAGCACGCATGCTATTAAGGCAAATTACTTTGGGGCTCTAAGGGAGTTCTCCTATTCCTCTCACTGCCTTTTATTCATGGAAAAATATTTCATCTCAATAAACCTTGCCATGTGTTCATAATATGGAGGGCTATTATTGGTTGGAATCATGTAATAAGGCCATATAGGGCTGACAGGCTGTAGGATTGAACATATGCTCAATCCAATGAATCCCCTTTCTGACGAACAGTTTATGCGTGGTAGAAATATGAAGGGAAGCTCCTCACCCTGATTTGGGAACAAATGTACACACAGACATACATCGGCAGAGCTAAGATGCTACATAAAGATTAGATTAACTAATCCTAGCATTTTGTTTAAAGAGTATGCAGGAAGCATAAAAAAAAAATTGAGCCAATAATGAAAGAGCAGCCTACCAAAAATGTGATTCTCATACCTGATCACCTGCATTTGGGCCATCAGAATGAAATAGAATAGGGCGGCACCGTTTATCCTCATTCATCAAGCTTGAATTCTGGAAATGGGCAATCAAAGCAGCTTTTCCCTGAATACGGGCATATGCAAGTGATGCAACCTTTTCACTGTTGAACTTTTCCCATTTCTTACCATTAAATGCCTGCAAAATATGAATGTTCCCTTCAGTTTACATTCATTGTATATAAGATGTACCTCAAAAGATGTACATTAAACAGAAATAAATGAAAACACTCATATCCTATAATAGTTCACATGGATCTAACCTGAAAGAATGGAACAATATGGAGAGGTTCAATCATATTAATGAAGGCATACCCAACGTTGCATTTGTTCTGAGACAAAATAAATGGAAGCATAATCAGTAAGACAAAAACCACAGATATATATATATATATATATAACCAAGTTTTCCACTGGCAGATAATTCACTTGCCTTGAAGTCAATTGGCAAATAAAGGAAATCGTAAGTTCCTCGATGGTGCTCATCAATCGCAGCCAAAAGCATCTTTGAAGTATACCTATAATTACCACGAAATCAAATCAAAATTGTGAAAGCCTGAAAGGAATAGAGAAAAAGCAAGCACTCCACATGAATGCAAGACCATTCCTCCACCTAAGGAAGAATGCAAAACCTAAAACCTATGAGGGGCTTTAATACATCGGGGAGCATAAAAGAAATTGCATGCTTCTCTCTTCCCTGGCACTCTAAAGGAAGCAACGAACATGATAAAGTGGCTGATAGAACCATGAAGTGTTAAGGCTAAACTCAGCCAATATGAAACTATGAATGACCCTAAACACCTCTAAGTTGGGAAGAGTCAGGCTTTTAGACAACCAAACATATCCCACAAATTAAAATTTACACGGGAGAATGTATGAATTTCAAATAATACACAGCAACATCAAGGAAAGGTGTCTTTTTTTCATCAATCATCATCATCTAAGCCTTGTCCCAACTATATGGGTGGTCGGCTACATAAACCCTGTTTCACCATTCCGTTTTGTTCAGAAAGGTGTGTCCTCGTTTAAGTCTTCCAAACATTAACCAACGTTGAAAAATTTTCCTTCTTCCTAGGTTGCTCAAATATACCATGTTGAATGTAGTAGAGTCTCTAGATATTTAATCTATATCAGTGGCAACTGATTACCTTGAAAGCAAAGTATCTATGGTAAATCCACCATTTTGTCAATCCAGACATATTGTCCTGGTAACTTTTGGAGTAGGGGTACAACTTGAGCGGACTTGGATTGAGCTTTTGTTAAATTCTGAATGGGTCCAACCCAAAGGCCTGAGCCCAACACAGTATAAAATCTTCAACTCAGGTACTCGAGTTGCACTCCTTTTTTGGAGTATATCAGCATGTCCAAAGTCCAAACRTGTGTGCGTTAAGTTTGTGTGTGTGTGTGTGTGTGTATAACACAGAGAGAGAGAGAGAGAGAGAGAGAGATGCTGGACATCCACATACTTGTTAGGAATATTCTTTATCATAACTGTTGTTCGTGTATCCTCTCCACGCAGTATGCGGTCAATATCAAGTTCATACTGCTTCTTGTTGTCAGCCTGATTAGAACCAACATCACTCCTACGGCTTCTCATCCGCTCATTAGGTGCATCGTATGAGCTTGACATAGGAACCATCAGGTTTCTTCCAGGGAACATGTGGCACCTTTGTTGAGGGGAGTGCAATCCAACATTTGTAGAGGGAATTGATGGATCCATACAGTTACCACCAACAGGAAAAATGTTATGACAAGCAAGTTCTAAAGGATGCAATGTAGAGTTTCCTGAAAATCCCATATTCCCAAGAGAACCTGGGTGGAAACCAGATGCCTCAGGAGAATCCCCAGAATAGGCATGAGGCCTATCCCAGAGAGATGGATTAACAGCTGGTGCTGATCCAACATGGTGATGTATTGGTAGAACTGTATTCAGCATATGAGATGGTGCTCTAGGAAGTCCATGCAGTTGCACAGGGGGATTATTATGCATGCCATTGACGAATGATGGAGAGTTTGGCCACATCATATTTGTTGGAGGATGAGGCTGATATGAGTTGGAGCAATTCCACATATGATGATGTCCACGAAGAGGGTAGCTCCCATTTCCAGAAGAACCAAAAACTGTGTAACACGGGAAACATCAGTTGCAATGCAAGTAATAGAGGAAACAAGCATGTAATAAAATCCCAGTTACCATCTTTTCATTCAAAAATAGCAAATCACCCGACTAAATAGACAACCAGCTTATCAAGTTGTTTCTAGCTACATGCCGACTTGCTCAAATCTGAAAACCTTAAGTGTGTAATAAAATCCCAGTTACCATCTTTTCATTCAAAAATAGCAAATCACCCGACTAAATAGATAACCAGCCTATCAAGTTGTTTCTAGCTACATGCTGACTTGCTCAAACCTGAAAACCGTAAGTATAATAGAAATAGTTTGACCCAAAAACACAGGTTAGATAAGTAGCTAGCTGAGAAATTCCTGAAACTGCTTTCTTTTCTGCCTTTGCTATTATTCATTTCATCTTTGCCTTTTGTTCTCACAAGTGGAAACTTGAGGTTCCCCTTCAAGTTAATTTAATAGCACTCTACAAACAGTACAACCTAGTACAAAGAACACAGGGAGAGATGGAATATGCCCCACTTGGGAGATATCATATGCCTAGTATAGCTGAACTTAATAATCCTCATCTAACTATCACATTTAATCAGGACTGACTGTTAAATATCTGTTCTCTTTCAAACAATGCAGGATAGATCATATCGTTACTTAAACCAGTTAAACAAGCTCCTAGGCTAAGAGAGTTGTTGCAATTGGCTATATTAAAAGGTACCTTTCACTTTCCATTCTAATCTGTTTTCCCATTATGCTGGAAGTGGGGACAGTTGTGCATTCAGCCAGATACTTCAAAGAAAAAAATCAAAACTAAAGCTCTATTAAATGATCAGTCACATACCACCATCATTAATATCAACTGAAAGCCCATTTGAGCCTACTCTGCAGATCTGCCTGTTCTCAATTCCTTCTGATGGTCTAGAGCTGATATTTGCTGCTATAGGTGCCATGGTGCCTGGAGAATTGTAAGGAACACCATTGACTAAACCATCGTGATATTCTGGCAATGAATGAGGATGGAAAGTTGGCATAGACTGAAAACCAAACTTCATTTGGCCCAGCGAGTGGCTAGGCTCACCAAACCCAGATAGGTTGCCAACAGATGCAACTCTAACTGGAGAGCGTATGCTATTGGGGACAGAAGAAGAAATATCATGATGAAAGGCATTTTCCATGAATGGACTAACAGGTGCTCGGATTGTGGAGTGTAGACCCTGGACAGCTCCATTCTCCATGCAACTAGATGTGACTGACCCATTAGAAATTGAACCTGTAAAGGATGCCATGTCAGAGAGCATAAACTAATGTTTGTCCATTTTTTCATAGTGTAGCATTAAGTACTTGTTGGCAAATCAACATTTCTATCAGGCAAGAGTTTTACCAAAGCATCCTGATGGTGAACCACTAGGAGGGCTACTCTGTTGTTGAGATGAAATGGAATCTTCTTGCTCCAGCTCTGGAGAAAACTGTTGCATCAGACTGCAAAGGGAATAGTTTACTATAAATTTAGATTTCATCATGCAAAAAAATGATTATGACAAGGATAATAACAAATAAAGGTATCACATGGACAAGTTTCGGGCTTCAATACCCTACTCCCATATAAGGGATAGAAAGGAAGAGATTTTCACTTGCTCCTAGAACTTGACCATCCATTTCAATGGAGCCTAAGTTTAAAATAAGAGAGAGAGAGAGAGAGAGAGAATGGATAATACCACCGTCTTGCACCGCCTGGACGACTTGGTTCAAGCTTGATCCGCTTCCCCGCAATATCACTCCTGTTCAGAGCACGAAGAGCAGCCTCAGCAGCCCTAACATCATAAAACTCTATGAATTTGTGATTATGTTTGTGTGGAGTTTCACGGATCTACAACCAAAAATAACAAACCATGTAAGCCCATATTATCATAATACATACTTTCAAAAAGTTAATGTACAGAAAATAATATTAATGAACCAGCTCACCTCCTTAATTTCTCCATAAACACCAAAAATCTGGCGTAGGTCATCATTGGAAACAGAAGAATCTAGGTTGAACACCACCAGTGTTCCCTGATTAATATCTTTCTCCGAAGGATTGTCCTAACCACCAATTACCCACAAGTCATCTAGCAATACAACATCATCTTCAAGCACAAGGGAAATGTTTGGAAGAGCAAGAGCTTCCACACATATTGGAACATTTTACAAGTTAAGCTACTCCCATGTAATGAAAATGATGAATATTAGGAGTTCTAAAGTTTGTTAGATCTAGTTATTTGTARAGTGTGTGTTAGTTGCAATGGCACCAAAATATCATGCATATGCTGAGAAGAGCAGAACATCCCAGATGAATACCTTTGGAATCGAATAGTGTATGTCAAGTTTCCTACGCCTCAATGGCTTGTTTTGGAGTGCTTTCATTGCATTTCGTGCTGCTCTTATATCATAATAAGAGATCATAACAAAACCACGGTGCTTGCATGCTGTATAAAGAGTACGGATGTCGCCATATTGCTGTATGAACAGAACATAATTTTGAAGGATGACAATAATTATAAGTTCTTGATTAGGAATATTGATGTAATTATCATTAAGAAAATCTTAACCACAAAGCATGTGAAACATAGAACTACAAATACCTCAAAAAGAACCCTCAACTCTGAGTCTTCAACATTGCTATTTATATTTCTGACAAAAAGTGTTCTAGAGGGGTGTTCTCCATAAGGGTGCTCCCCAGCAACAGAGCCATTGGACCCCCCCTGCTGATTATTGGAAGCTCCCCCAGAGATATCAGAATATATTTCGGCTGCACAGGCACCACCATCTCCTTCTAGTTCCAGCCCTCCAACACTGCTAAAGAGATCAAAATCTTCTACATCATCCCCACTATTTGGTTGGGCAATATACTCTATCTCATCGAAGACACCGGAAAGCAAATCATCGTCATCAGGAAGGAGGTCCCCAATTGTTTGTGCCTCAATTTCTTCGAGGGACTTAAATGGCTCCTCTTCCTCATATTGGGAGGCAACAGTATTATTAGCAGACTTTCCAAATAGAACATCATTGGATGCTAGTCTCACTGTACCATAAGGAGAAAAAATCAGTGCAGAGAGACTATAGACTTAATGATAAGAATGAAAAAAAGCAAGAAAACCATACTAATTACAGACATCAATGCAGTCAGAATGGTACACAAAGTAAATGGTGCAGCATACTAGCATGCACCAATAAACAAATGTGTAAAAAGGAAACTTACATTTCCTATTAAATATTTCTGAGAAGGAACTCGAGAATAGACCATTCTCATATTGACCTCCATTCATATCAGTTCTCCCACCTTCTGCAAAATAAGAAGTTGGCTGCAAAAATAACTTGGACCTTGCTCCAGCATCATAATCCAGAGATCTCCATGAAGCCAGGGATGGATCAACTGGTTTGCTGCAAGACATTTGTGATACTCCACCTCTTCCTACTTCTGATGAAAGAAAAACATTAAGGCATATATAAGATTGTTAAGAAAAAGAAAGTAAATACACCTCCATAAAGACTAAGGCAGTTTAAAATGGGTGTAAACATTAATATATAAGCAAGGAAATAGAAGAAATGAGCTATTTCTGCAAACATCAGCATGTAAGGCGAAACTGGCACAGATGTATAACCCTCAACCATCAAATATCTAACAACAACCGATTTTAGTTACAATAAGATGCTACTGTTCCAGAGAAAACCAAGATATGCAAATAGTAAATATCATACAAAAGAGAAAATGAGGAAATTATACAGGAAAATCACCACAAAATAGGGAAACAGTCCTTACCAGACAACAAGAAATACTCCTACTGGCATACATAGTTTTAAGTAATTCTCATCATAAATTGACTTTACCTAGTGAATAACTCTTGGTTAGAGATATTCATCTGGAAGGTTACTATTTTGGTTTCCAGACTCCAGAATGAACATGTTGTTCATATGGTCCCAAGGTATTCCAACTAATTGTAACAGGGAGCTGAAATTACAGGATGGGTCTTGCATTTGTCTTATTCATCAGTCATTCATATTGGATATCTGGGCTATTCTTTTTTGATGAATGTTGAATGTTTACATTCTTAAGCTGTCTCTCCACTTCTCCTTTGGATAGAATTAATTGTATTGTACCTATTCTCCTTTTTTATGCTGAACAATATTTTTCTAGCAATCAATCAACCTATCCATATGAGAACAGGACAAAAGAATATGCTAACCACATAAGGATGGGATCATCGGCCCTCCCAACCCTGTCCTTATCAGAGGGCAAAGGATAGAGCAGCCACCAGGGTAGGGAGAGAGTTTTGACAACGGAGAGATAAAGAAAGAGAAAATGGCAAGTTTGAGAGGAGGTATTTGATATTTTTTCTATTCAAATATTTTTATTAAATAAAAATGAATATGGAGGTGCTCAACCCCCCCCCCCCAACCTTGACATATTCGGGATTAGGCTCATGTAAAGGGACTGCTGTGTCTCCCTGAACGGGAGGACATTAACAGGGACAGAGTCGAAAAACAGAAGATCCCACCCCACCCACATATGACACCAATTTCCCCTTTTGACCAAACCACCATTAAAGTAACATTTTTTGGGAAAACAAAATAGTAACAGAGACTAAAAGAGACCAGTATCTCAAGTTTGAAATGGCATTTTATCCTGGAGCATGGAATGCATCTCAGTTTGGACCACCTTAAAATCTTAAATTGATGGCCCCAAAAACCAAAGCCAGCCTGAAGAAGTCACTATAATTTTATATGTTCTGGAAAGCCAAAATGTTTCCACATATTAATGATTGGTTTAACCATTACTGCTATTTATGTTAATATATTACATACTCCCTGGTTTCTCAAGTAGTGTTTTAAAAGGCATGCCCAAGTTCACAAGCAACACTCATTTTGGCAGGTGCACCTCATCTGGCTTGTTATGTTTCAATGAATTAACTCTGAATCTATATGTTGTACTTATGATGCCTAAACTTTAATAATGTTAAACTCAGGCCCGCATGGAACTAGGGATGCCATGGTTTGACCAGTTCTGTTGTTCAACCAATTTGACTATTGAGTTCATAAATGTCCATTTTTTCGATGTAATAAAATATAAAGATGGAAAGTTCATGGTTAAACCAGATTTTGACTAAGATCAACTGTTTTTACCATATTCCCGGCAATTCAATTTTGGAAACTAGGAAGCAATCCACTTTGGGTTCAACCACCCTTGTCCACAACACTTAACCCATTGAGGTATTTTATTCCTTTTAGAATTTGGATATGCACATTCCTTTTTAAAAGTTTTCTCTTTATTTTCTTTGTCAAGAGAAGTACCACACTTCATTCAAGCATGAGAGGGGATTAAATGAGGTGGAAAGTAATAATTGAAGTTACATTTTCAACCCTTACAATTAACGATGGACTAAATACACAAATATGGGCATTTTAACAGCCATTAAAGTTGATATTAAATCTATAATAAAATGACTTTTATACCCTTTCTCAAACAAAGAAATAGAGGGTACTTTTAGTCCAAAAAACTATTTCACTCTTCACCCACACTTTTATATATAGTATAAATATATTTCTGATGTTTATTTAATAAATATTCTTTAAAGTTATATTTATCAAAAAAAAATCTTTAAAGTTACCTTCAGAAAAAATTTAGGGACTCCTAACTGTTTCCAAATGTCCATTGGAACTTCACCCAGAATCCTTAGGCTCCATTTGTTTCAATATAAAATGGATGAAATTTTTTTTCAAGCTAAAATAATTGAGCTATACTTTTGCCCCTTCTACAATGAAAACCATGTTTTCCTTTTTGTTTACATCATAACAGTTTTTGCTATAAAAGGAGCAGAAAAAATAGCTCAAATATTTCATTTGGAATTTTTATGTCCATTTTACAATGAAAACTATGTTTTCCTTTTTTTGTACACAAAACAAGATTAATCTTGAAAGCTCCTAACAGTAAAAACTAAGCATGACTGAACTGCTTTTTCTTGTGAAAGGATAACTAATAGGTCAGTCCAAAAGTTGGTTAAGTATAAATGACATCTTTATGAATTAAAACTTAAAACAACATTTATTTTCTTTTTCAGTAAAAAACGAAATTTGGTTTGCCTTTATGGAATGTTACAAATATTAGTCATGGAACCCAGAATATGTGGAGAAGTCCTCCCCTATTAGACCATTAAAATCTATTAGATTTGGATTATGTCAAGCTCTAAGACAACATGCTTCCATGGACCAAAACAATAAAGCGCTGGGAAATGAAACAAGATATACTCACCAGGGTGATCGGGCATGTTTTCAGGCTTCCAGAAACCAACTTTCCTCTGCCAAGTGCAAATATAGGAGGGAGAGTAATTAAGATAATCCAAGAATGGAAGATTTTCCAAAAAACACAAATATCCTAAAATGAATACTAAGGCTAAAGAAGAACATTTAAGCGATTGAAATCAAATCAGGAGAGATAATGTTACACCAAAATTATGACAAGTGCTTAAAACTTTAAAAAAAAGGATAAATTCGGGATTCAATTCAACAATGTTGGAGGATCCATACCTCAGCGGGAAAACGGATTTCCTCACAGAAGTAGGAGGATGGAGGAAACCCCCTTTGGTTCATTATTTCAGAAGGCATGGTGAAATTCAGAAACGAAACGAACCAAATATAGGAACTAAAACTTAATATTCCGTATCTGTATGCTACTTTCCAAGCCGTATGCCCGCTCCTTGACAGGAAATTCAAGCCCTAGGCCTCCATATCTGTATCTACAAACTAAAATTTAATATTCCATATCCGTAAGCTACTTCCAAGCCGTATGCCCGCCCCTTGACAGGAAATTCAAGCCCTAGGCTTCCATACCAAACACGAGAAAGTCTGCATACGATGAAATCAGACAATTGAAAAGGGGTAAGAGTTAGCAATCCCAGAGATATATAAATTGAAAATGAAGAAAACAATTGCATCCAAATAAATCATACCAATAAAAAATCACAAAAAAAACAAATGAAGGTAATAGTTACACTGATTCAACTGCACAGTAGAATTCAACAGCAAACAACGGATGCGTAACTCCAGCAGTAAAAAAGACGGAAATATTAATGCATCTTAAATATCACTGAGGGAAGGGGGTTAGCTATCGCCAGAACTGCAAGACTCAAATTCAAAATTCTTTCTGTATAACCAAAATTCCGAGCATATGATGACTGAAAAATTCCTATTCGTCGCCTAGCACAAGAGGGTCATTAAAACAAAAGGGATAACAAGTCGGTAGAAATTAAAACGAAAGTAAATTGTTAAATCGGAAACAGGAAAGATCGGCATGAAGCCACGCTGAGAAATTCAAGCAGAAGATCTCATCACGACCACCAGAACCTTCAGAAACCCGATAAAAATACTACCTTTACACACGAAACACAACCAATCAAATAATCGGAGAACAAGACAAGCCTAATAACACCAAAACAACAATAATTCGATAAGAGAAGAAAGAAAACTTACCATTTAAACATTCATCTTCACCTCCAACCCTTCTTTTTCTCTCTCTGACTCTTCTCTGTAATGTTTTTTTCCGATTTTGATGATGAAAGAACAGAGAGATGATAGCATATAAACCAGATGGGCAGAAGAGGACAGAGAGAAAAATCGAATAGATTACGGCATAAGGCAAGGGGATTGAGGAAGGGATCTCGGCATCTGTGCCGTGTAAGAACCTCCAAAACTATGATACCCTCCCTCCTTTTCCCTTCATTGCAAGTTAAGAGCTAGAAAGAAAGGGAGTTTGTAAGAAAGACCGAGAATTATAATATTATTTCTCAACCAAAAAAATAATAACAGGAGCTCCCTCGCTATGGTTCCGTTGCATCTATTCTGGAGTGTCAAAGCTTTGTGATGGAATTAATGCATATTCCGGCAAACGAGAAGCAATTCTCCGGCGAGTTTCCTGACCCTCGCTCGCCCGCTCGGAGAGAGAGAGCGCGCGAGAGCGAGAGAGGGAAAGGGAGAGAGGGTGAGGATGGACGAGGAAGAGAGGGTTGGTTGGCTTTGAAAGAGGACAAAAAAAATAGGCGGGTTGTGCCTTAAACGGCGGTGGTTTTACCAGACCCACTCCTACAAACGAGAGGCTCCGATATGGATGGAGAGAGAGAGAGAGAAGCTCCTCTCCGTGAACAAGTTAACGGCGTCACCTCCAAGTCCGGGACGAGGTCTAGATGTACGGGCATCAGCGAATCGTGAGCGAAGCCAAGCTCCTCGTGTCTCACAGTGCTGAATCCTGATCTTTGCGTGAACAGTTTTTTTCAATTTTTTTGAAATTGCCCGAAGCACTTTTTCCGGTTTGGCCGTTAAACCACATAATGATAATGTTGCGAGTATAGAAATGGTTAAAAAAAGGGTATTCTGGTAAATTAGAGAGTGGGTGAAATAATTAAATAGTTGGAGCAGTTTGGGAAGATTAGTTAAGGTTTGTGTATCATCCATCCAGTTTTCCCACCGAGTACCTTCAGATCCGTGTCGTATACGATATCATTTTAGGAACACTAAAACATACAAGCCACGTGGATGGTGACATTAGGAAATTTCAGATGCGGACCCACTGAAGTGGCTACCTAATTTCGATATATTCACAAATTTAGGTGGGCCTGGGCCAAAAGGGAAGCACGTTCTTATGTCCAAATGATCTGCCACATGGAAGGATTGCATTATCGGCTGCCGGACCACTCCGTAATTAATGTGTCTTATATACAGCGGGATGAGGCACTCAGCGCTCTCATGAGTCTTTGACTCTTGAAAATGGCCCACGTATTAGTAAATGGAGGGTAGCGTGTCCTTCAATCCCACCATTTAAGAGGGTCCCACACTTAAATCAATACGATTGGATGCTGTATATGATCTCTATTATATGCAATACGCATTACTCTCGTTGGTTATTGGTTTATATTTTTTAAGTTCTTGGAATTGTCGGTTGTAAAAGCGTGGAACGACCTAGCTGTAGAGACATGTGCTGTCACATTTGTAACAGCACAGAAGAAAAGAAAATTAATAATAATAATAATAATAATAATAATAAAGATTAATATAAAAAAGTGGATTCTAAATGAGGCCTAGGGCAAGATTTACAAGTATAGACACCCTAATCGGTCATACTGATAAGGCTGTGTTTGTTTTCGATGTAAGACCAAAATTCAATCTTTGAAATTTAACAATAATGACTGATGGATTTAAATTTTTAGTGAATCGTAAATGATAATTGATACAAAAGCGTATCAATTATTGATAGAAAACTTAACTAATGAAAAGGTTTGCATCGATTTAAACAGTTTACAGTTTCGACGGGAGGCTTATATTTCAAAATAAACCACCTTGCACCGAAAACAAATATATAAAAATACGGATTGAGAGTAAAATTTTATATAGATCTGTATTTACACTACAAATTTTATATCAATTTATATTTACACGGAAAACAAATACAGCCTAAAGCAACAATGCAAAAACACATATTCTTCAAACAGAAAAGCTGTTAGGACGTGGAATACAATTACAAAGGTGGTCATGGGATCAAAACATTTTATTGGTCTATTGGCCTAGGAAATAGTAACACTATTCAATTGATGAAACGGGTTATCCATGAACAGTTTAATGACTGTTGGCCTTGGAGAATGGAAATGTATGACCACTCTGGTGGCCCATCCATACACAAGATTTTCATTCTATTTTCTACTCAGTACCATGGCCCATCTCACTTCGATGGATGTGACTTCAGTGGGTGATGATTTTGGGCCCCAGCTAATCAACCCAGTGGGATCTTTCCAAGGGTGGGCCCTAATCTCTAAAACCACAGTCACACTACAAGTTACAGGGGGTGTCTGACCCAAGTACAGGCGAAGAAAAAATTATTCATCATCTTGAGGAAAACATGCATGAAGTGGACAACTTGCGCACTAACACTGTAACATAATTCTTTTCCGGATATAGCTATTTCCTATCTGCTTTTGTCGTCCGCACCACTTTTGAGAGAGGGAATAAAACTAAAAAGAAGGTGGCATTTTCATTTTATAGGTGTGGATAAGCTTAACACTATCTATTGACAGGATGATGCTTTTTGGAGACGGGAATTAACGTATCTTTCTAATGAAAAAACCGATTGCGCCCTTGGATTTTTGGGCATCGGTTTATATGTGAGAAATTTGCTCGAGCCATTTTCATTGTGGATCATACATATCAACCATCAAGAATATTGGAACAAACAAGATGGACGGCATGATCATTACGGGGCTGCAATTTTCCATGCATAAGATAGGATAGAAACCTTATTGGAGTACACGTCATAATAAAAATATGATAGCTCACAGCTCAGCATGTAGCCTTGAATGATTAGCATGTTGGTATTTTCATTAGTGAAGCATTTTATCTTAATTGCCCTGATCAATTCAAATCATGCAAATTTGTCTTATTGTACCCTTCACGAATGCACCGTACGCCACACCTCTGGAACATCGTGCAGTGCCACTTTATGTGGGTCCCACTAAAATTCTTCACTATAAATAAATCTGTAAATTCAAAAAATAGGAGTCAGGATTTCCCTACACTCCCAATAGCAGCGTGCCATATCAATATTGAATCACGTGTATATCTTCGGTCTCAATCCTTCTCAAAGAGAGTGATTTTTAATAAAATATACTAAAATATCTGAATTGCCGTTCCCTCTTAGTTTACTATTAGCACTCTATAAACCGCATCTTATTCATGAATTTGACATTAATTCATCGGCAGAATTCAGTTTATCTCTAAAAATCTTAAATTCACCCTAGAGGTAGACTGAATTATAAAAACCCCTAAAATCTAAAACGGCAAAGAGCAATAACCTGTGCTAATACACTCCTTAAACTCCCTTTTCGTTTTGGCCGGTGATGGAATTGAGAGATGAAGTCGAAGCCTTCATTCCTCTCTCTGTTACCTCGTTTTGATCGGTGACAAAAATGGGAGAGGAAGCCAAAGTCTTCCTTCTTCTCTCTTGTATTCTTTGTTTCTTCATTGTTATTAACCTTACTTTTTGTTTATAAATGTGTTTTTTTAAGTTAAATAAAAGAAAAATGGGCAAAATGGCCCAATCGATCCTTGAGAGACAAGGTCTTCTTCTTTGGCTCAACAGTTTTAAACACTACTGCTTAAGCATCAAGTGAACACTGGTGAAGCACCGATATAGACAATTAATAAAGTATTGTTTCTCCAACTGTACTAATGAAGTTTTACCTTCCCAATTAACTTTATCGATGATGAAGAGACAAAATCGATTTCACTCAAGTGATGTTGATTTAGTATGAGAGGATAAAGAAAATGAGGTGATTTTTGTTTCTTAAACACTGATTTGTGGGAACGTGAAAATGGGGCAGGTTAATAGAGAGCGAGAAAATAATGAAAATTTGAGGAAGAAATCAGAAATAATGGATAAGAGGAGTCAGCACATAAGAGAGAGAGACATGATTTAATACTGGCACGTGTGATATGTACATATGATTTAATGTTAATGTGGTGTCCTGTGATTGGTTGTGCAAGATGTTGTGCAGGGAATCCCAACTCTAAAAAGAATCGTATAAAACAGGTACTCTATCATTCGGATGGTGTTTGTTTAAACACCATGATACATGGGTATTTTCCTTAATAGAATTGAAGGTTCGTTTAATTAAATTGTTTATTAATATTAAATAAATACTTGTCTCTCTTTGTATGGAATTCATTTTGTTGCAGGAATATTTTGATTGTTTATCCCAATACTTAAGTGTTTATTGTTTTTCCACTACCAAATAATTTAGAATGTTGCTTAACTATTAAAAACATTAACAAATATTTATTTAATTATTTTCTCATTTTCTCAAAATTATATATATAATGTTTATTAAATAAATGACAATATATACTATCTATACTACATATAAAAGTGTGAAAGATGTGTTAAACTTTTGGAATAAAACTATCATTTATTTCTTTGTTTGAGAAACAATATAAAAGTCATGTATTATAGTTTTATTGCCAACCTTAGTGTCTTCTATAATGGCCATGTTTGTGTATTTAATCCATCCCTAATAGTAAGGGTTAAAAATGTAACTTCAATTATTACCTTCTACCTCATTTAATCACATCTCATTAAGTCTTATACTTAATGTATTAAATCCCATTTTCTACTATTAAATTATATATTTTTAAGTTATTTTCACCAATAAATTCATTGATTAGATTTATATATTCTTAAAAATATAAACTTATATATTTTAAAACTAACTCAAAAACAATACCATCCTTTATCAAAGTGGTGGCTAAGCAATTCAACCATCCAAATCAAATTGATCGACATATGAAGTCATAGTTAGGTAATAAATTTGTTTAAAATGGAAATAAATACATAAATTTACAAAAAAAAATAGACACACTTATGATGTTTTTTTATGTAACCGTTTTTGGGATGTGTAAAATTTTTTGGCTAAGTACCACGTGTTTGACCTRGTGGTGACGTGCCTTGGTGATGAGCTACTTGGTGGTGAACTTCCCGGGGGAGAACTGCCTGGTGGCGAACTGCCCGGTGGCGAACTACCTGGTGGCGAACTGCCTGATGGCGAACTGCCTGGTGGCGAACTGCCTGGTGTCGAACTACCTGATGGCGAACTGCCTGGTGACGAACTGCCTGATGGCGAACTGCCTGGTGACGAACTGCCTGATGGCGAACTGCCTGGTGGCGAACTGCCTGGTGACGAAACTGCCTGATGGCGAACTGCCTGATGGCGAACTGCCTGGTGGCGAACTGCCTGGTGGCGAACTGCCTGATGGCGAACTGCCTGGTGACGAACTGCCTGATGGCGAACTGCCTGGTGACGAACTGCCTGATGGCGAACTGCCTGGTGGCGAACTGCC